TTGTGGCAAATTCGCATATTACTACAAATTATTATTGTGGCTAATTTTTTATGTTTTGTGGCAAAATTTGGTGCCACAAAAAGTCAAGTTTTTTGTAGTGATACACTACTCTATTTCCAAACCGGGTAAATACAGATACTAATTGTATGTGAAGACAGATACTTAAAAAATGTTATGAATATGTAAATAAACAAATATTAAAAAAAGACCATACTTTATATGGAGTTTCTTTTAGTCTCAACAAATTCAAAAAAAAAATAATTGGAGACAAATGAAGTACGGAGTATAATTTAAATTTATTTATTTTAAGAACAAACCATTTCTATTTAAAAAAAAACGTTTTGAAAGGACATAACTTCTCATGCACAGTTTTAAAACATCCACTTAAGCTTACCTAACCATTTTAACCTTTCCAACACAATTTCAATTTTCAAGCCTTCAGAGGAATAAATTAACTAAAAATAAGTTGGAAAGACAGATTTTCCGGTAACAGAAAGTAGTCACAAACATTAACACTATGTTTGGTTCAAGAAATTAAATTTAGAAGGGAAAAAAAGAGAATGAGTTTCTCTCATTTTTCTTATCACAATAGAAAGAATTTAATTTTCCCTCTTCTTAGTATATTTTCACTATGTTTGGTCAAGGAATTTGGAAGGGAAATATAATATTTTTCTCTCATTTTCCTCAACAAGGTGGAAGGTTTGTTATTTTCTCTCCACTTACTAGTACAATTTGGCTTTTCATTTTTTTTCCTTCTACTTTTTTTTTCTTTTCCTCTCTAGCCAAACACAAAAATTATATTTCATCTAATTTTCTTTTTTATTCTCTTACAAATTTCTTGAATCAAACATAATGCAAAGGTCACAAGACACCAACTTCACAAACTTATTATTTTTACTGTTAAGATTCTTTTCCGTCAATAACTACGATTAAACGTAAAATAGTTAAACAATTACAAAGCACTTTTGTTTTTAGACAAAAAAAAAACTTGTCAAAACTCACGAAATAGAAATAGAACAATGAAGGGGAAAAGTTGTTTTTCGGTTGAATGCTATATTGGGGTTGATTGAAAATTTTAGAATCATATGAAAAATGAACAAGTGTTCAGAAATCAAAGTGTGACACAAACCGTAAGACACATAGAATCATAGATACTTGCTTAATAATTGCTGGTATTTACTCCCTCCGTCCATGTATGATCTTCCTATTACGCGTTACGAGGCTTGACCGACTTTATTTTCAATTCAATTTAATTGATTATAAGAATAAAATTTTAAAATAAAATTTATATAGTAATAAACTACATGAAAAGTTTTACAAAACTAGAGGTGACAAGACTATATTATTTTATGAAATGACTAGTAAAATTGAGCAAACAAAGTGAGTAAAGTTTGACCTTGTGAATAGTATCTGGAAAGATCTATGGTGGATAGAGGGAGTATTTTTTATTTAGAATATTCAAACTAGGCTAGAATCAAGCATCAATCTTTGGGGAGTATTTAAATGTTGGTTTGTACATACAAATAGGAAATGATGATTGAATCTGGCCCAATTTAAATTCCCTAAATTTTAAAATTTGGGTTTCTTTTTTCATTAATTAGGAAAATGGGCAATGTTTTACTTGAATCATTTTCCATTGTATTCTCTCCATTTTAAAAATCTATTCCTCTTTCTTTATTTTTTTCCCACAAAATATATTTTCTTTTCTATTAAAAAACCACTTTTATTCTTATTAATTATTAAGCTACATATCACAACATATATTTTCACTAATAATTTACCATCACATTTTATTTTTACCTATCACATGAAAAGTATTTTTAAAAAGTCAATACAAAATGATCTCTCTTTAAAATTTTCTAAAAGTCAAAACAAAAACATCCTTATGGACGGAGGAAATATCATATATCATTACTGAAAATTACATGCAACAAAAATACATAATGCACATTTTAATAACCACTGTTAGACAATTATAATAATACTCCCTCTATTTGGGAAAACAACTCATATATTTACTTTGGAAAAAATACCCAGCAAGAAAGAATTATATTAAGTTGAATTTTCAATTTTGTCCTTAATCTAATAGGTAAAAGTAAGATGTGATAAAATTAACTATTAGTAAAAAGATATGATGTGATATGTGTGATAGTAGTTAGGCTGGGGTGTCATCACTATCCTCCACACTTCCAACTCAGCGTCACATCAGCTTTTCCCATTTCATCCTCATTTCATCCCCATCAAGGGTGTCGTCATCATTCCATCCCTATTCTTTTTTATTTTTTTAAATACTACTCCCTCCGTCTCGTTTTAAATCGCCCGTTTTGACTTTTGGGCATATTTAAGAAAAATTAAAAATAGAGTTGATTTTCCGAAATTATCAATACTTTTTAGGAGGGATGATGATGAATAAGAATATAATTTGGAGAAGATTGATATATTTTAGAGGTAGTTTAGGTATTTTATTTTTAAAAGTTTACGAAAACAACTAAGAGACAACTTATTTTGGGACGGAGAAAAAAGGCAAACAGGCAATTTAAAATGGGACGGAGGTAGTACTCTCATAACACTTCACTTACATTTAATATTTTAATTTAAATAATTAAATAAACTAACATGTTAAATAATAATTTGACACTTTAAGATCTAAAAATGTATATTAAGCATTTTATTCATTATAAATAAAAGAGTACAATTATGAAAAAAGTGCATAATTGAAATGACACATACATTAATTAATTAAGTAAAGACGGATACATAATTAAAATAGTGAAAACGTAATTAAGAATTAATTATGATAAACAAGAATTACTCGGAAACCAACTCCTCATGACTATCTACAAACTCAAATTTAATAAAATATTAACATTCAATGCAATAACAAAAAAATCGTAAAATATAGATTATACGATTGAATACAAAAAAATCATACCCTCCCGATCTCGGTGTAACGCTCATTATCTTCTTTGTGGTGCCGATGACTGTGTAGTTTCATGTTGCGCTAGAAGAATTTGTGCAGCGTCCGTCACCAAATTAAAAAAATTCCTTGGCTTCGTTGGAAGATGAAGAATAAATCATGGCACAAAATATTTTGTAATTGAAGAAATATTTTTTTTGGGAAACTAATTGATGAAATTGGGGTAGAAGAGGTGGGTTTAGATAGGTGGGTTTAGTTATTAACCGTCGGTAATCTGCAACGGCACTCTGGTGGTAGCGGTTACAGGTGGCAGTGTAACAGTGATATTGTGATAATTATAACGTCACAATGTAGTGAATATTTTAGTTAACAATGACAATGTAAACTTTTATTTTAGTTTTAAAAGATTTATGACTATTATTTTATTATTTTCATAATTTTTTACTCTTATTTAGAGAGTTTATCCAAATCTTAGAACCCAATTCTAAGTAGGCATAAACTTAATCTTAGAACCCAATTCTAAATACTCCCTCCGTCTCCCTGTATTTGTCCACATTTGACTTTTGGATCTGTTCATCTAAGCATTTTAACTCATCAAATTCTCTCAATGTGTAAGCTTAAATATAGTCATGTGTGATCTTGTTTGATTTGTCTTAACATATAGATTATTAATATATAATTTTTATAATTTTTTAATATACAAATTACAAGATAAAATGGATTAAAGAAGTGCATTGGATAGTGTGTAAAAATGAAAGTGAACAAATATAGGGGGACGGAGGGAGTACGAAACTTGATCCCAAAACGACAAGAGCAATGCTAGGTTCACAAATACAATGGTCACAAACTTCACAAAATTATCATTTATGGTTTAAATTTTCATTTTAAAATTGTTTTAAAAAATGTTTTTTATTAAAATTTACAAATAATAAGTTTGTGAATTTTGTGACTATTTTATTCGTGAATCTAGCATTTCTTAAACGAAAAATATTGGTGCACCCTAGGAATGCATACAAATCAAATAAAATGTATTCGATTCGTGATTCGTATTCGAAAAGGATGATTTGTATTCGTTATATTTGAATTCGAATCCGAATACAAATCATATTTTAGATTCGAATTATTTTCGAATTCGAATACAGATATTAATAGATTCGATTCGTTTATTATTCAAATTATTCGAATATTATAATTTATAAATAAATTTATATATATATATATTCTAATATATTAAATATTTGTGTACATATTTTAACATATTTTAATATATTAAATATTTGTGTACATATAAATTTATATATATTCGAATATTATAATTTATAAATAAAATTATGTATATTCTAACATATTTTTACTACATTTTACATTATTATAAAATAATAATTTAATGTCTTTAAGAAATCTGTTTTTAAAAAAAATTACTAATATTTTCGAATTCGAATACGAATTCAAATACGTCAAATATGTATCGAATCGAATACGAATGTTTTTTAAAATTCGAATTATATACGAATCCGAATTCAAATACCTATCAATTTAATCGAATACGAATCAAATAGTGATATATTTGCTTCGATTCGATTCGTATACACTCCTAGTGCACCCCGCCCTAAAAAATGACGGTTCCCAGGTAGTCCCAAGTCCCAACGATAGAGGACCACGCGCTAACCTACCCACATTCACCATTCCTGCTGCATAGATCTACGTCTTAATACATCGCGCCAAGTGCGCGTGGTCCTACGTGGCTATGCCATGTGGCGTGATCACATAAGGAATACCACCCCCAATTGCGTGGTGTTGTGCGTGGAGACTGCCTGAGGAGAGTCGTGACCATGGCCAAGGAGCATGTGTTGATTTTCTTTGCTTTTTACAAGTTACAATTTTGGGCCATCCTACAATTACACCAAAAAATGTACTCCACTTGTACACCACAGTTTTGTACAAATATTTTGATGATTTACACCGATATCATTAAAATTTTATGTAAAAATGTAAATTTATACACAAAAAACGAGTAGTAAGCAAAAAAATATAGTTATAATCTTATTTATATAACATTATACTCCGTATTTCATATTAAAAGAGTAAATACTTTTGAAAAATTCTTACATCAGCGAGTCAACCAGTTTGAGTTTGGGTTCGGTCAGATTTGACCCATTTTAGTAGGTCATTTCGGGTTTATTCAACTTTAGGTTCGATCAAAAAAAATTTTGCTCAAAACTCAGTATTTTTGCACTTTGACTTCCAATTAAAAAAAAAGGGTAGTGCAAAGGCGCTGTGTTCGTTTCTCCGTGGCATTCTTGAATCGGCAGCAAAGTCGTCGCCGGAATCTTAGCCCGAAACAGAAGCATCGTTCCCCTGCTTCGCCGGCGGGACTCTGAAATTGGTCAGCGCATCCACCCCACGGAGCTTGTCGTAGATCGCCTCGGCTTCCTCAGCCGTTTCATATATCCCAACCAAACTCTAACCTGTCGGGTCGGGTCCCGGATCTCGGCAGCCCATTTTCCCCAAGGTCGTCGCCTTACGCCCCGGAACTTCCTGACACCGCCGGAGACACCTGAAGGGCCAAGAACATCTTTCCCCCTCCCTCCTTTCTGCCTGGGCGGAACTGGCTCCAGCGGTCTCTTCCTACGGTTTCGCGCAACACCGCCGTCAGCGGCGGAATCTGAGATTCAAATGAGAGGAGGCGGAGAAGTTTAAGAATGGGGGAGAGGAAGAGATAAGGTCAAATGAGAGAATGAGAGGTGGGCAATGATTCAAGAAAGATAAGGCATGCGTTAGGGTGGGTGGAGTAATAAATATTTTAACTTTTTAGGCATTTAAAGTTTGTGGGGGATGATTTTAGGACGGGAAAAAAAAGGAAATGAGAAGATCAATACAGGAGGGAGGGAGTACATCATTATTTCTCGCAAGCATAAAAAACAAGAAGGGAGTGTCTATACATTATATGGAGTATGGTGTCAAAATATTGTCACACCAAACAAATTTCATTGGTTCGATGTTTTTTACTACGGTGATGCTAGGGGTACATCAAAAATATACCCCATTTGTACATTACCCTCTCTATAACTACTCATTTACTCCCTCCGTTCTATAAAAGTGTTCATATTTTGACTTTGTGTAAAAATAAGGAAGTGTTAAATTGTACTCCCTCCGTCCTAAAACTTTCTTCCCGTTACGCAAAACGAAGAAAAATCCAAAGTTTTTTCAATCTATTTTATTTAAATATTGGTATAGAAATAAAAAATAAAACATACATATTTAAAAACTACATCGAAAGTTCAACAAAACAAGTGGTGACAAGAATATTTTATTTTATCATATAGGCCATGTAAAAACACAAATAAATATAAATTCTCATGAAGTTAGAATAGTGTTCTGGAAAGAAAGTTTTAGGACGGAGGGAGTAGTTGACTTCCAATTTTGCCCTTGATGTGATGGGTAAAAGTAAGATGTGATGGATTGAGTATTAGAGAAAAAGTATGATGTGATAGGTAGGGTAAGAAAAAGTAGGGGTAAAAGTTGTTTTTTAATAGAAAGTGGAAGTGTTTTATTGAGAGTAAAAAAAATTAAAGAGGAAGAGTTTTTAAGAACGGATGGAGTATTTTTTTTATTTACTTTTTTTTTCTTTTCTTACCTATTTTAGTGGTAATGGAGGGGGTGGAAGACAGATGGGGCCATTTTCCTTTTTACGAAGGGGGTGTTTGTTTTTTGGCCAGAAGAGCTTCTTGCCTATTTTGTCTGCGCCGCGCAGACGCGCGCAGATGCTGAGCTCTGCAGATTGTTTATTTTTTGGAAGACATTTCACTCAAAAAGGTCTTCCTGGCATCTTCTTGGAGAAGACATTAACCTATGTCTTCTAACATCTTCTCCATTTTTTCTTCTACTTCTCTTCACCACCACCATCGTCCACCACCACCATCACCGCCACCGTCGTCCACCACCACCGCCACCGTCCACCACTACCACCGTCCACCACCGTCTACCATCACCATCACCGTCCATCACCACCGT